TGGTTCTCCTCTATTATAGGAGCTACCAGGGAAGCCCAACACAGAAGAGACGGAGGGTGATTTCCTGAACAAGATGCTTGTGAAGGTGAGAGGGTGTGGACTCCAGCACAGAAGATGCGGGGTGGAGAGACAGAAGCACAGCTTATCCACAATAAACGGGAGGAAGCCAGGTGACAGGAACAGAAGCAGGTGGACTTCACAGTGGGAAAATACAGTACTTCTAATTTAATTAATTGCTTCTCTTTTCTCACTGAAATAGGAAGTGAGACCAGCAGTTTGGCATGATGGAGGTAGACAATTGGAAGTGTGAGAACACAGAAGAAGGTAGGAAGCAATCTGTTTTGGAGCAGGAAGGTGAGTTTCAAAGAGAAGTCATGCCTGATGATGGACAGTGCTGAGTGCCCACTGAGCTCTGGTTGGACATCTCAGGAAAGACGTGTCACTTGCCTGATTCAGCTATGTGGATGTGTTTAACGTGACGCCATGGCCAAGGTCTAAAGTGCATGTGTTTGTCTCATATGATAGTCTTTCCAGCTTTCACTCACAAATAGCTTTAACTAGCTTGATGAGCGAATCTCAGGTGGGATCAGGCAAAAGGAGCCCGGTTGAGTGGGGGTCTGGCAGTGGGGGGTCCCTAGACCCTTGACACCAACTTCCTGCTAGGCTTGGCCAAGAGGGGCCCCTGGCAGGAGCTTGGAAGGTGGGGGGCTAGGTAAGAAGACATTTTTCTGGCTTCCAGCTCAGACCAGGTCTCCAGCCGTAGGCATGCAGGGGGAGCAGCCGCTGGGACAGGCCCTCAGAAGTAAGAATATTCCTATGAGCCTTGCTCCATCGCTGCCTGGTGTCCTTCCCTGGGCATCTCTGCAGCGGGTAGTCTGGCCCCTCTGGTCACCCAGCACTCGCCAGGCTGGGCCCCTCCACAGAGACTGTGCTCCTCTTCCTCATCCGTCTCACCCCAGTGTTGAGAGCTGCTCCCTTTAATTTAGAATCTCTGACTTGTTTGAGCATCCTCTTTTTGCCCTCTCAGCTTCCTGTGTAGATTCCCTGATTTAAATCCCTGCTTTTTGATATACCTAATGAGAAATGGAGTATTTCCTGCCTTATCAGTAAATAAGGATGTCACAGCCATCAGTGATTGCAACCCTCCTTTGTGAGCTGGTGAGCCTTAAGGGAACTCAGGAAAGAGAAGAATACCTGTGATCTCACAGCCATCAGACCATAACCACTCCCACCAGTGAGCCCCTAGGGAGCTCAGATTGTGAAAGCACAAGACACTGGCCCCAGAGAGCTGAGCTGCATATGAAAAGGATGATGTCAGTGAACTCAGACTCTTGCATCTTCCCTTATACAGAAAAGCACTAAATTCTTTTAACTTGGGGTATCTGGTTTTCTTTAATTAACAATAATCTTTTGATGCTCAGATGACCTGCCCTTTGTTGCAAAACTTCTATATAACCTGGCTCCTCTCCTCATCGCCATGGAGCAGTTCTCTTAGAGTCACTTTCGATGCTGCCTCCCGGGCTTGAAGACCTAAAAATTCTCACCGATTAAACGTAACTCTCAACTTTTAGGTTGTGACTAATTTTTAAATTGACACTAACGTTTTTTTGTCTTCCTGGTTGGGGATGATATTCTAATGGACACAAAAAAGCAAAACATGCACCAGTTAAGGATGGGAGAGACATCAGCAAACCCCTGAGTGGTGTGGGGCATTAGAGTTATGTGCACAAGCTCTCGGCAGGTGTTGTGTAGGAAGGGCCAGTGGGCTGGTGCCCACACCAACATGCAGGAGAGCTGAGCGGCAGGTGCAGACTTCCTGGCCTGCAGCATCCTCAGACCAGAGGCCAGGAGAGGGGTCCTGATGCTACAAACTTGGAAATGTACTACCCTCTCTGGTCTGCTCCACTCTTTCCAAAGTTATGAGCATAGATTTCATAGAAACAAATTTCACACTCGCATTTCCTAAGTCCTAATTGAACTAAATGGCTACAAGAACAAGGACCTTAAAATAAACAGCTTCAGAATCCCAAACTCAACTCTTGTTAAGTGTTCAGCTCAACTTGAGGAGACACCTGTGCCTGTGGACCGGAGCTCACCTGTTTGGCACGAACACTGAATGCATTAAGGGTGTTGGGAAGAGCGTTCTGCAGAGGGGATGGGGAATAGCCTGCCCAGCGCTGAGGAAGACAGCTTTTGCTACATTGGTCTTGGGGTGATGAGCAGCCTTACAGTGGGATGGTGGACCCTCAGGCTGCAGGAGAGAGAATTGATCAGACAGCTGTGGGTTAGGTGGTGGTGGGTTGGACGCCCACGACTTGCCTTCCATATAGAGTTTGTGACGCAGTGGGATCTGTTCCCTAATGAACAACTGGCTTGAGTAGGGGCTGCGTGGCCCCCTCTCTGGGGAGAGGGAACAAGACATACTCTGAGATTCCCCTAGTTATTCATATCAGTCCACCTATAAGGTGGAACAGCTCGATCTGGAAAATACCCAGATAAATTAGGCATCTCTAAATATGTTTTGTCACATTGTTTACAATGTCACATTACAAACTTTTAATAAAAAGTAAAGTTTTAGGACAAATTTTACAGCACTTCACACATCGTCCACCATCATGCACTCAATAAATCCTGGCTCAGGAAGATCCTTTGGAAAAGAAAATGGCAAGCCACTCCAGTATTCTTGCCTGGAAAATTCCAGGGTTGCAAAAGAATCTGACACAACTTCTTGACTAAACAGCAATTTATTCTTTTTTTTTTTAAAGCACAACTTTCTGTCGACTTCCCTGCTTAGAAAATGGCTACCATACGAGCAGTTGAGCAACTCAGTGGTCTTATCCCTCATCTGTGCTCAACAACTTGGTTGATCCTAGTGATCTTTGGATCCAGTTGTCTCTTGACCCTCTTGGGGGAGACACAGAGCATGTCTCCCCCATGTTTCTCTGAATTTCAGAGCAAGGCTTGCCTTGGCCAAGGATGAGGTCCCAATCCCAAAGTCTGTAGCAGACCTGATGCAATAGTGAGCTTAGCAGCCAAGCTGGGAACAGCATTAGGGAAGAGCCACAACTCCAAGAAACACGTGGTTTGATTCCTATATTAAGGATGAGCAATCTGATGAAGACAATGAATTGCCTTTTCTCTGTTGTTTTTTTTTTTTTTCTATAAAACTTTACATCAAACTCTCAGATGGAAAAGATGAACTCATATCTTACAATCCACCTTCCCTTCCCTCCTCCATCTCCCTCATCTTTAGGGTGAAGTTTTCTGTGATTTTTCAAATCTTTCAGGAAACTAGTAGAGATGCCCAGTAATCTTGGGCCACTGGACAGTGGCTTGCAAGCCCCCCTCCACTTGTGCTTGGGATTTTCTCTTCTAGAGAGTTTTCAGGTGGGTAACTATACCAAGAGGGGGTTGTGAGCTGTTCCAGAGAAGAGCAACCGACAGAGGCTCAGCTTCATATTGCCTCTGCATTTGTATCCTCATGTACAGACCCCCTCCTGATGCCTGTGCCTGATCCTGTAAGGATGCAACAGTACGACCATGCTGTCAAGGAGTTTGTAGGCCATCTCTTTTAGTTTGTGCCCTTTACATTTGAGAAACGGGGACCCAGAGAGGTTTAGTGACTTGCACCCCTTATCACAGCAAGGAAGTGAGACAAGCAAAGCCAGAGCCTCCCTGTGCAGCTCATGGTCTTTCATCTCTAGACCTGCTCTTCCACAGACTATTCATATGTCTCGTGTTCTCCAAGCTTATCTCTTCTGTTTCTGGGCTAACACGCATCTTCTCTTTCTTCCAATTTGCTTTCTAGCCTATGAGGCCCACACCCCATGGTTCTCTTTGACTCTTTTCTCAGACTTCTTGCACTGCAACTATTCTTGTGTAGAGCCAGGGTTGGGCCAAGAACTTGTAAGTCCATGGGTCACTGGCTACCAGCACCCTCTCCACTTGTCTTTTCCTGTCATATGTCTCCCACCCCTCCCTGCAGTTACTAGGTTAGTGTGCTCCTTGCAATGAAGAGTTATAAGGACATTGTAGGGATTCCCCTGATCAGGTCTCAGATTAGAGGATGGCCTAGTACCCAAGGAAAGTCATGGCCAGGCTCTGCTGAGGTTGAAACAAGATGTGCACCTTATAGAACGTTATCTGCTTAATATCTATCAGTTATAGGATGGACCCATTACCAGGAAACTATTTAGAACATGGCTACGTATCCATCATCCTCCACATGTATTCACCTGTCTACCCACTGGCCTGTCTAAGCTTCTTGCTTCTGAAAAGACTGGAGCAGCAGGCCCTAAAGAAATGGCAGGGCAGATCTGTTGTTATAGAATCATCTTACTGACAAGATGATCCAACAAGATAGTAAAACACAAAAATATTAATCCAACGGTAATATTTGTTTCATAAAACTTTGTACTACACAAACAATACATCGTTCAATATTGACATTTTCTCATGTGACCTTCTTTTTAAAAATATTAAGGTAATCTTTATCATTTCTTTTTAATCTCTTTCTCCCTTTGTCTCTTAATGTCAAAAGGAAATGGTAGAGATTACCCTCATATCCAAATATATCTATAAATTTACATATATAATGTACATAATGTCTAATATACATAACACATTCAAGAGAGACAGGACTATAAGTCTTTCTTCAAATGTTTGGAAATGATCATACAAGCCAGAAAACTTCAGCTGATTCCATTCTCATATTGACCAAGTGTAAAATCCTAAGGATTTTTTTCCTACTCAGACGGCAGCTTGAGAGCAAAAAAGAATTCTTTTTTTTTTTTTAAGAATTGTCTTTCCATAAATTACCCATGATAAGTGAAGGCGAGTAGGAAAATAAGCCTCATTCACGAAGGCAGGTGTCAAGCAGCCGACATTACCCAGGAGCACCATGCCCGACGTCAACATAGGCTATTGGAGCGGTCCTGGGGTTGTGACAAGGGAGCCAGAGCATGCTTCCCCGGTTGCGGGGAGCGGACCGCAGCCCTTACCTTGCAGGGCCTGCAGGCTATGCGTCTGCACGACGATGCAGAGCTGCAGCACCAGCTGGGGCGCGCTCTCCAAGAAGGTGGCCAGGAGGTGCAGCATGCTCACGTCCGCGTACTCATACACCATCTTCCAGTAGAACCTCCACCGGTCGTTCTCCCCGCTCTGCCGACTTCGAATACCTAGGTATATCGTGTGGAAATACCTAGAAAGGAAACACGGAGGATAAGAGACCGGAGTGATGACTGATCCTGCCTGCTTTTCCGCGAACCACAGTGTCTGTGCAAGCACACACAGGAAACACCTGCCTCAGTGGCTTAGCACTTAAAAGTGGACGGGAAAGTGAAAGTCACTCGGTCGTGTCCGACTCTTTGCGACCCCATGGACTATATAGCCCATGAAATTCTCCAGGCCAGAATACTGGATGGGGTAGCCTTTCTCTGCTTATCACTTAAGGCCCCAAGTTAACCCTTATTCTTAAAGGTTCACTTTGAGGAGTCATTGCAATTTTCATCCTCATTGAAGGCATCCTGTGGGTGCTAAGTCGCTTTAATCATGTCCATCTCTTTGCAAGCCCATAGACCATATCCTGCCAGGCTCCTCTGTCCGTGGGATTCTCCAGGTAGGAATACTGGAGTGGGTTGCTCTTTCCTCCTCCAGGGGATCTTCCCAACCCAGGGATCAAACCTATGTCTCCTGTGGCATTGGCAAGCAAATTCTTTTCCACTAGTGCCACCTGGAAAGCCTGAAAGCATCCCGCTGCCCTGCAGTTTTGAAGAGGGAAGTGAAATTGAGGTCTAGAAAGGATGTGCTACCTTGAGAATCTACAAATACCCTTTCTGGTCAGCGCCTCTATGTGCTTTACAATATTCAAGAGACACATCTCCAAGGACAGAATGCATGTCAAGTTCCAGACTGTATATGCTTGTAAGTTCTCCTGATACCTTTTTTTTTTTTTCTTTTCAGTAAAAATTATTTATTTATTTATTTTTTATTTTTGGCCGAGCTGTGTAGCATGCAGGATCTCAGTTCCCCAACCAGGGATCAAACCTGCATCTCCTACAGTGGAAGCATGAAGTCTTAATCACTGGACCACCACGGGAGTCCTTTCTGATACCTTTTAAAAATATATTTACTACTGAAAATTTCACACCAATACAAAAGAAGAAAGAAAACCAGTGTATTGAATCCACAATAAAATTACCCCACTGCTTTAAAAATATCCTGAGTAGAATCATCAGTGTGATAATGGTAAGCATTACATGTTAATTTTCCAATGTGTTTGGGAAAGTGAGAGAATGAGAACAAGCTTGACAATCCTAAAAGCCAGCACCACTTCATATTAGGTGTGAGAGATGCTGTTTGTGAACAGTCATCACATTTTATTCTTACAAACTTGTATTTGTTCTTTGATAGCATGAAAAAAGAGCTTACCCTAAGCATATACTTGATATATATAATATATGTATTTATACATGCATTATATATATAGATTAACATGAATGTGCAAAAGATTTCAGAATTTTAAAAATTCAGAACATGCAAAAAGTTACAAAAATGCCCATGGGAACTACATATGTAAAGACACAAAGATAAGGAAAATGCTCTGAGTTCTGATAAGCAATGCAGTGGCCTGAAATGTATTTTGCACATTCACATTATGTTTTCTTAGAGTTATCCTCTCTCTTTTCTCCACTGTAGAAACTTACAGTTGTGGTTTAAAACAGCTGAGAAGAACTTCCTTTATGACCCTTGCTCCTGACTTGTGCAGACCACCAGCCTGGAAGCCACCTCACTGTCTGAGATTGACTGCTTCCATGCTGGCTTCTGTCCTAGCCCCCCAAGGCTGGGGTGTGATCCCACATCACTGAAGCTGTACCAGTGAGCCCTGTATTCTGTTCATTCTGGGATGTACCAACATATATTACATTGAATTGGGGGGAAGTCTCAAGTTCTATCTCTTTTTTAAAAAAATTATTTATTTGGCTGTGCTGGGATTTAGTTGAGGCCTGCAGGATCTTTAGTTGTGGCATGGGAACTCTTGGTTGACACATGTGGGATCTAGTTCCCTGACCAGGGGTTGAACCCAGGCCCCCTGCATTTGGAGCATGGAGTCTTAGCCACTGGACCACTGGGGAAGTCCCTCAAATTCTATTCCTTAACAATTAGTTATTTGCATGAGATGGACCAAGAGCCTCCATCATATCACATTTTGCTTCCAGTTGGATGTGCAGAGCAATTGGTATGTAACGGATACTAGCATGCAATCTCAGGAGAGTTTTCCAGTTTCTCTAAATCAGCAGTGATGGACATCAGGAATCTTACACTCACAATTTAGTCATGAGGAAAATGTCAGCCTGGGCCTTTTCTCTAGTTTGTGCTCTGAAAAATGATGACAATAGAAAGGCTTTGTGATCGCAACTGGTTCTCGTCCATATTCTTCATATGTAAGTGGTTTACCACATTTGGTTACGTTGTTTAATTTTTTTAAATTTATCTTAATTGGAGAATAATTACAACAGTGTGATGGTTTTATGTGATACATCAACATGAATTGGCTATAGGTATACGTGTGTCCCCTCCCTCCTGAATTCCCCTCCTGCTTCCCTTTCCATCCTATCCCTCCAAGTTGTCACAGAGCACCGGCTTTGGGTGTCCTGCGTCATACATCAAACTCGCACTGCCTATCTATTTTACATATGGTAATGTATATGTTTCAATGCTCTTCTCTCAAATCATCCCACCCTTTCCCTCTCCCACTAAATTCGAAAGTCTGTTCTTTACATCTGTGTCTCCTTTGCTGCCCTGCACATAGGCTCATCGGTACCATCCTTCTAAATTTCATATATATGTGTTAATATCCTTTATCAGCTGCCAGAAGGGAAGGTTGGAAGACAAGAGGCCCAGTGAATGTGAGCAGAAATGTAGACCATGCTCACATCTGTTCCCACCTGTTCCTCATGCCAAGTGTAAGATAAAATTGCCACAGGTGAGTGGGGGATGAAAACACACATTTGAATTTCAGTGTCAGGTTCTTCCCCTCTGCCTCTGCCACCTGCTGTGTGGGCTGTGCTGACATCTACCTCAAGAGAGGATCATGCAAGTCCACATTGCATTGCCATGGAGTGTATGGCCAGAGGTTTGATTTCATAAAGGCCTGGTTTTATAATAATTTACTCTCTTAGGGCAGGAAATTCTGTACCCATTAACACAGAGCCCCCACATCTATCTAAAGAGACCCCTGTGGACTCTCTACTAACAGGTAATAACATCTGCTCTAGAGACGAAACATCAGCACAGGAAGCAGAGGACCATGTTTGTTATTCAATTCTAACAAATGTTGGGCTGGACAAAGAAGCTGAACTGGCATTCCGTTGTATTTTTAAATCAAGTAAACTGCTTAGGGAATTGAGAAATAAATACAAAAGAATAGGCTTATGAGTTCTTATGCATAGAAATTTAGAATGACACAAAGAAGGACTTGTGTTCCGAGAAAAGTCATGGTGTTCCAGAAACAGGAGCAAAACTGTCAAGCTAACTCTTCTGTGCAGGTGTTTGGAGTTGTTTGTCTTTTAAATAGCTACCAGGTCAAGAGCCTTGGAGTTACTTCCCGTGTTAAACACCTTGAGGCTTTCCTTGGGCTCCAAAAAGGGAAGATGTTTTAAAACAGAAATATTCTATAAGGAATTATAATCCCTTTGGTAAGAACTAATGATGCAATGGGCTTCTCTGGTGGCTCAGTGGTAGAGAATCTGCCTGCCAGTGCAGGAGTTGTGGGTTCAATCCCTGGGTCAGGAAGATCCCCTGGAGAAGGAAGGCAACCCACTCCAATGTTCTTGCCTGGGAAATCCTGTGAACAGAGGAGCTTGGTGGGCTACAGTTCATGGGGTCGCAAGCTGAGCAACTAAACAACAGTGATGCAGTAGACATGAGGCTTCACGTCTGGAACTGAATCCCAGGAAACTGGGGACAGCTGTGTAAGATCACTTGGAATAATAATTGGGACAGAAGAAACTTGAAAGGAGCTGAATTGCACCCTTGGTTAGAGACAAACACAATGGTGACATTAGCCTACATTGTCTGCCCTTTCATGAAGTGTGCTCATGGGTGCCTTGGCACCTTCACTCAGCGAATCTGACAGTTGCTTCCACTGTACTCCAGCCAACCTACCAGTGAAGTCTGGGAACTTACGATGCTGGTCAGAGACACAGAAGTGTCGCCTTGATCCATGTGACTCCACAAGTTAGCTTTAAAAAAAAAAAATTTCTAATTTATTTATTTGGCTGCCCTGGGTCTTGGTTGTAGCACAAGGAATCTTTTGTTGTGGCCTGCGAACTCTCAGTTGCAGCATATGCGATTTTGTTCCCTGACCAAGAATTGAACCCTGGTCCCCTGCATTGGCGGTGCAGAGTTGAAGTCACTGGACCACCAGGGAAATCCCCATAAGTTAGCTTTTGAATGGTTCTTGGCAGCAGTCTACCAAGTAGACAGAGTTGAGAAGTTCGGGACTGTAAGCTACCATCCTAGTGGAATCTAGATCCTTCATACTACTTCACAAACACATATCTGCACTGGGGGAGAGGAGGATGGCTGACAGCCTGTTCCTGGAAAATGCCCCTTTGCTTACTTGAAGACACAGACTGAGCAGTCTTGTCCTCTTGGTATGTGGGCTGTCATAATTTAACTGGGAAGGATTTTCTCCCCTCTGAGTCTCAGAGCCATTTAGCTTCTGAGCCAGACTTCTTTATCTGAAGGCGGAGAGAACCATCCTCCTTCATGGCTGGGTGAGCGCTAGACGAGAAGCTGTGTCCTGTGCACGGGCCGGGCTCTTGACGAACGGGCATGTCGCTGCTCACCAAGGTTACCTGCTTCCTGGGCTCATTTGCAGTGCCATCTCTTTGATATTTGTCATTCAAGTGGCTTTATGCCTTTAGTCCTTCTCATTTACTTTAAGCATTTTACTCTGACAGGTGTTCCCATCACATTGAACTTGGCCTTTGCCTGATTGAGGGCATATGAGGAAGGTCAACACTCTGCTGGGGAGCAAAGCAGTTTCTAGACCTCCTGAGTGTCAAAAGGACCCAATGTTGGGTCCAGGTGGGGACTGGAGGGGGCTCACTAAGATTCTTCTTAGGATTCTGCTTTGCTATGTTAATAAAAAGACAAATACTGCCCAAGAGGCATAAATGACCAAGGAAGTTCATG